AAAATATATAGGAAAATTACTTTTAAGTATACATTTTGATAAATGTGGACCTAGAGGTGATTCATCAGCAAAGCTCTGCATGGCCGTGTGCTGCTGTGGGTGTGTTTTCACAGATCCTTACTGGAGAGGACTGGAACGAGGTGATGTACAACGGTATTCGCTCCCAAGGTGGAGTAAAGTCTGGCATGTGGTCTTCTGTCTACTTTATAGTTCTCACCCTTTTTGGAAACTGTATCCTTCTTGCTAAAAATAACAGACAGCCTGCTGTTATTATGTAACGCAGGTTTATTCTAATGTTTCTTAATTGTACCTGAAATTGTAGCCATTGTTTCCATTGTTCACTGTCCCGTTTGATCTCATTTGTAAAGCTTAACATATCGATTTGTGTTAGATTCTTGAATTCTAATTAAGAGAGTGGAAGACACTGTATACAAACAGACATGTGAAGCAGACAGATCAATAATATTGACCGTCTGCTCGATGTCCTTCATGGACTCCTTCTAGTTGTCCTTTGTCTATAGGAGGAGGAAGCTTTTTACATTTTTGGAAATTTCTCTTTTACCAAATGGACAAAAACTACCTACAGCTAACTAGAAAGTGATTAAAAGTAAAGAACTATTTTATATATAACGAACTATATACATCATTTGGTCTCAACCAAACCTACACTCACTGGATCTTTCATTAGGTACTCCTTTCAAGTGCTGGTTTGGCCCTTTTGCCTTCAAAACTTATTTGTCTTATTGGTGACATGGATTCAACAAGGTGATAGAAAGAGGAGATTTTTTCCCCTTATTGACATGATAGCGCCACACAGTTGTTGCAGATTTCTTGGTAGCACATCCATAATGCAAAACTGTCCCACCATACCCCAAAAGGATCGAGATCTTAGTACTGTGGAGGTCATTTGGGCTCATTTTAATGTTCAAGAAACCCGTTTGAGATGATTCGAGCTTTGTGACTTGGTGCATTAACCTACTGGAATCAGCCTCCAGTAGATGGGTACACTGTAAAGAGGTGGTTAGCAGCAATACTAAGGTAGGTGTTAGATGATGCTCAGTTGGTACTAATAAAGAAAATATCCCCCATACCATTGCATCACCTTCCTGAGCCACTAACAGAAGGAAGGGTCCATCCATGCTTTAATGTTGTTTGTGTTTTGTCCCCACCATCCAAATGTCTCAGCAGAAATCAAGACTCGTCAAACCAGGAAATGTTTTTCCAATTATCTGTTGTCCAGTTTTGGGAGCCCATGCAAAATTGTAGCCTCAATTTCCTGCTTTTAACTGACAGAAGTGGCATCTGGCGTGGTCTTTGCTGTTGTAGCCCATCTGTTTCAGCGTTCAATGCCGTGTGTTCACAGATGCACTTACCTTGGTTGGAGCAAGTGCTTATTTGAGTAACTGCACAAAGCAATCTGGCCATTGTCCTCTGACCACTGGTTTTACTGTCAGAAGGCATTTTTTCCCAGATAGCTGCTGCTCGCTGCATATTTTCAGGTTTTTTATTTTTTGGGACCATTCTCTGTAAACCCTCAGAGATGTTTGTGGAGGAAAATCTCAGTAGATCAGCAAATTGTAAAATCATCCAACCAACCCATCTGGCGCCAACAGTCATCCCTCATTGATGGTCATTGTTGTCAGACCTTGAACATTTTTGTGCTGTTGCACAGGTGCAACGTGGTTTTTATGATTTCAGTCTGCA